CATACAAATGAGTACACACAAAAGCTGGTGGTATGATGTAACAATTTGTCCTTTGAGCGGAAACTGATGATGGGGCTAAAGTTGAAGCTCAAGCACAGAATAGCAGCCAAGTATGTCGTATCAACAGGGTTTTTATAAATTAGTTCAGCAATCGAGTCACCTTTGAATGGAAGCCTCATTTAGACTCGCTTCTTTCCAACAGAACATTGCATCGGTTTGGGATTAACTGATTTCAGTCTTGAGTACGAAACCTTCAGGATATCATTCCTGCGTTCCAAGAACCTCAGTTCCTTCTTTCATGAAGGAAACTACTCATAAGGTTGCTGAAAGCTCTTCGACAACCTTCAGCAACCTTGTGAGTAACTTCCGTTATGAAAATACACTGCGATATCTCGAATATCGTGCCAACTGAAACATGAGGCGGCCTGTGTGCAGCACTTTCAGTTGTAGAATATCATAAACGAGAGATTCAGTTGAGTCTCGTGAAAACCAAATTGATTTGCAAATGAGTGTGTTTCTCAATTTGCTATTCTTTTTTTGAGACTAAGAAAACGGCTTGACAACGCGCTTCTGAAGAACAGGATGTACGATGCGCCATCATCTGACATAGCAACATCAGTGTTAGCCTGACGCTTCCCTGGCGTAAATGAGATGATGGATGAATCTCTCTTCTCTATCGGGGCAAAGATCCGCCATTGAATGCACCAAATGAAGGTCGAATTCCGAAGTTCGAGTCCGATCAAAACATTCGAACACTCGATTCTTACGGCAGCCCCANAGACTTTCAAACATTCGCTTGACGAATGCATAAGATCTCACCCAACTTCCCTCATCAACATTTGAGATGCAGATTACAAACAATAGAACATATATGTCATATCATTCCGTTTATCTGTATACATACACACACACCAATATCCTTTGGTCATTGTAAAGCAAAATGCTTTTTAGACCAATATAACCTTGATTTACCTTGATTCATTTGGCGGGAAACATTGGAAGAAATGACGGCTAATCAATCGATGTCAGTGCCATTCGAACTGTCAGTTCCTTTCAGACTGTCTGACTGCGCGTTTCGAGAATGCTCGTTGCAGTAGGTGGATCTAGGGTCTGGACCTACACATGAGTCTTTGTTAGCATTCCGAGTCGGCAACCTGACGGCTCCACAGGCCAAAATATGTCACCTTAACGAATTTTCTCTCTCTGTCTGGAACCGACAAGATTAAAGACCTCAAGATTGACAAACAGTCAATGTTCTTCCTGGATGTCGAGTCACTCACTGAGACAATGGACTATGTTTGTGACTTGATTGAGTGCAACGGTAATGATTTGACATTCCCATCTCGGATCTTAAGGAACTCCTGCTCGTCTATACGTACAGTGTGCTTTTTGTAAATTTGGAACGACCAAATTCATTGACAGAAGGAAGAGGTCGTGACGGGTTCTGCTCTAGGTCCCTGTTGGCAGATTTTTTCATCGCCAAACGGGACACTCAAAAATTAGACGCACTTATTACACAAATAATATTGGATCGTCGCTACATGGACATTTCCGTACTTACCGACGAGACTATCAGCACAATAGACGTGCTATGCAGTTCCAATTCTGTTCAAACTAATATCATGGTTACTACCGAGTTAGAACAGAACGGAGAGTTAAGTTACCTTGATTTCAATGGTAAAAGGAAGACAATGACGGGACCGTAGAAAGCAAAGTCCATAGAAGACAAACATGAAAAGGTCAGGGTGTAAACTTCGGTGGCTTCGATCCGTTGCAACAAAAGCGCAATCTAATTAGATGCCTGACTGAGACAGTAATGAAGATATGCTCCCCCAACTGATTAGAAGAGAAACTGGGGTTCTTGGGACGCAGATATCTGCAGAAAGGATATCCTGAAGGGTTCGTACTGTGAAACCTGTTAAGCCCAAACCTGCAGAGTGTTCTGTTGGAAAGAAGCGAGTCTACATGAGGCTTCCATTCAAAGGTGACTCGGTTGCTGAACTAATCATCAAAAGGCTTAGAAGTTCTGTTGATACGACATACTTGGCCGTTAATCTATGTTTGAGCTTCAACTCCAGCCCCACTATCAAATTCTGCTTGAAAGACAAAATGCCACGTTCTACCATCAGCTTTTGTGTGTACTCATTTGTATGCTCGTGCTAAGCATCATACACCGGTCGACCGACAAGGCATCTGTCGGACAGAATGTGGGAACACAATCCCGTGTCCCTGAGTGGTAGTTGGAAGAAACCAGGCTCAAGTGCAATTGCATCACATTTGGACGAAACCAGTCCTGTCATCGACAAAGAGCAAGCCTTCAATACTATATACGGGGTACCTCTGAACTGGTCACGACTGGTACGATCCAGACTATTATCAATCGCAGAGGTCATTGGAATCCGACCGCTGGATCCACAACTTTGCGTCCAAAAGAAACCTATGTGACCTCCGAACTTGAACTGGCCTGCGAAAACTCTGGTCCCATAAGCCTGTCTGACATTGACGTCCCTTGTCTGATTCCGTGACCCAACAACCTAATCCTAATTCAAACCCCCTTCGATTGATTTCCGTTCATCTAAGGTGTATGTACCCCCCCACACACACACACCCGGTTTTAATCTTTTTCACGTAAACTGTGGTACCATATGTAGTTTTGATGTCCTAGCCAAGAGGATCAATCACAGAAAACAAGCTTTGTCCGCTACCTTCATCGTTCTCATAAACGTGACATGCTTCTCTCAATCGTATCCTAAAACTTCTGAATTTTTGTGTTCCCCTCTGAAGCCCAAACTAGCACAAACAGCGTTTTGTAACATCAGATGTGTTCTCGTTCGATTGGGATTTGTGCCTAACTGCAGAATGAGCGATTAACAACACTGAACGGTATCCAAGACTGGTGCGTACGTTTCTACACTGGATAAAGTATTCCTGCATGTAGATAAGCAAACCAAAAGCAAGTCAAAAGCCGGCTGTTAAGCGCGATCTACATTGTATTCGGACTGAGACACACTGTCGAGAGCTAAGCGAATGGGGAAACGCGCAAGAGTCCAAGACTTATTTGATACAGCCCAAAATAAATCACTACTCATAAGGTTGCTGAAAACCTTTCGACAACCCGCGACAGGTTTCGTTCTTCTTGGGACTCATCAGGTAGACGCAGTACCCGAGCTTTTTTCCCAAACTTACGTCCCCTTTGAATCCAGATTGGACGAAATTCGAAAAACACGTATTTGCACACGAATTTTTTTGACATGAGATAAATATCTCGTTTACAAGTGAACTTGGTGTACCAGGGCGCCTTGTGTTTCACGTGATACGACATTACGTGTTTAGAATGAGACACTGTCAGGAAAGTCATATTCCCGAAAACAATCTCAGAATGCCCAAAACTCCACCAAATCCCAATAGGGAGGCTGGCAAGCATTGACTGACCTAGGCAATTGATCAATCAACTCCGCAACGCCCGAAGAGTGTTCAGGCACGCCCGAGCGACCATGATAAGTGTTCAGACATTTCACAGAAGCTCGGTCGATGATGATTAGTATTCACCAAACGTCCGAATCAATGCCAAAGTGCCATTTACATGGTGCGAGACCACTTGAAACTTTTGCACTCATGTGTTCGCAACAAGGCTGATATTTTTTGTTGGCGGATGTATTTCTGGGGCCAAGGCACCGGCTGAGGCACACCAATCAGACATCAGAGACATCCTGTAGGAAACAATAGCATAGTTGTTTGCTATAGCTTTCAAACGAGAATGAAAATATCGCCTATGTTCGACGGACTTATACAAGTTTTGGAGTGAGATGACAAAAAGACATCGCTCATTTGGACGGCCCTCTTGGAACCGATCAGCTGTAGCATCATTTCGGTGCATAAATGTCATACCACCAGAAGTTAGCCTGAGGGTTGGGATACTACCAGGTTGCCCGAGCCTAGACAGGGGAAGTCGAGAGGGAGAGTTCGGGTTCGAACCACGGACCTTCCGGTCAGCGAATTCGCGCTCTTACCACTGGGCCATCTTGTCCCCCTCAAGGCTCTCTTGAATAGCACAATTTCGTCTCGCATGTCTCCATATTTCGCGGTTGTTTTACATCGGTTCCTGTGGATACTATATTCGGTTGACCCAGAAACCGTTCTAATCAATCAGCTACTACCCAAGTTGTGGTGAAAAACATCGATTTACTACTCATAAGGTTGCTGGAAATCCATCGACAGCCCACGGCCTGTTTCGCCCTTTCGGTTCGGGCTCATCAGGTAGGTGCAGTTCCCGAGTTTCCGTCAGCCTTATCTTCTACTTGAACCCAAATTGCGCGAAATTAGCGAATATGCACTCATTTGCAAACTAATTTGGTTTTTCGAGAGACTCACCTGGAACCCAGCTGAATCTCTCGTTTGTGATGTTCTCAGGCAACTGAATGTGCTGCGAAACCGGTCGTAGGCTGTCGGCGGATTTTCAGCAACCTTATGAGTAGTACATTACAAAGATATACATGTATCGCGATATCTCGAATATCGTGGCGACTGAAACATGGGGCGGCCGTTTCTCAGTTGACTGAGAACATCACAAACGAGAGATTCAGCTGGGTTCCAGGTGAGTCTCTCGAAAAACCAAATTAGTTTGCAAATGAGTGCATTGGTGATTGTTCGATTTTTCTAGGTGTACCAATGGCCGTACAGGGTGGTACTCGACGGCAAACATCTCTACGACCCAGAAGCAGCGCGTGGGCAAGCTCAAACTAGAAGGTTTATGCCCACAGCCATAAATCTATAGCTGAACCTAGGAGGCAATCAGTACCTTTGGGTGCCACTCTTGATGGATAGTATGGGGAAGGAAAGCGGGTAACAGCCAGTCTACAGTCACATCCTCTCTAGAACAGTATACGTGTAACGCGGCAACGAAAACTACCCCCCCCTCCGAGAAAAAACCTCTAGAGACCGAAGCTCTCAAAGGTCACTGTAAGCGTCAGTGTGAGAAAAATCGGCCCAGATTGGCATCGAACAACTTCGACAGCCGCCGAAAGTTTGGTCATTCTACAGAAGATAAAAAATAGACCAGCAAGCCGTCAAAGAAATTTATCACAGATTCTGTGGAAGAAAGAGCATGATGATGGAGAGAAGATTGCACAGTCGTGCAGAAGGTGTTGATTCCAAATAGGGATAGTGGACAGATCTTGGAGGAATCCACTGGGGGAATGGGTTGAAAACAGCAGTTAGGTAGGGTAAAAGAGTTTGCGGCGATTTGGAAAAGTCATCTGATCAGGAGAAAAGGAAGCTAACTGACAGTGAAGTCGGCCGAGTTGAGTTCTTCGCCAAAGTCCACGTAAGACGACCTGCGGGAATGGCGATGGGGGGAACTGGCAGGATTTTGGCACGGTTCACTGTGCAGCTCGGCGTAATAGTGTTCCAGTTGTCCCATGAAATGCAAATTCGGACCCGCTATCGGTCGTCGGGATTGAATGAAATCCAAGGCCCGTAGAACAGTGAAATTGCGGTATTTGTGCATGAGGTAGGCCATCACTATGGCAACCGAACGAGAGACGCCAGCAACGCAGTGCACCAGAACAATCCCGTTGGATTTCTCAGCCTCGTCTGTTCAATGAAGTGTACAGTGATGTGACTTGCGGTTAGGGGCGGAGAGTAGGATAACTATACGTGTTATAGGCGGACTGAAACACGGCATGGGGCACAAGGGCAACGAAAGGTAAGAGTATTTTCTAGGAAGTAAATCACCTATAGGCATGTTAACCGTGGAATTGAGCATGGTGACGTAATAAATCATCTACCTTCCGTCACCTAGCGCATACAAATGAGGATGACCGGTTATACACATACATACATACATACATAGGCATGTTAACCGTGGAATTGAGCATGGTGACGTAATAAATCATCTACCTTCCGTCACCTAGCGCGCGCATACAAGGATGACCGGTTATACACATACATACATACATACCGGTTATACCAACAACAAAGGTTTCCTGGTCGGTTTTTGTAGGAATGAAATCCAAAGAACCATTATGTTTGCATCTCTAACCAGCTGCAAGCCGCAAGAATAGATTGATGTGTGAGCGATCGGGTTCCGTTGGGGAGAAGCCACCGATCCGATTCTCAGATCACGAAAACCATCCCCATTCTATTGGGATGCGAAAACAATTAGGTGGTACGCGTTAAAGTAACTTTAAATGCACTCGGGCCGTTTTAATTTCATGCTATTTCTCCAAGCTACTGTCTGTTTCAACCCCAAAGGATCGCTCAGCTATAAGACCGTTCCGGAGCCAAGCTGTCATGCTACCCGAATGAAGCACGAGGGCTGGGATACTGCCAGTTTGCCCAAGCCTAGACAGGGGAAGTCGAGAGGCAGAGGTCGGGTTCGAACCACGGACCTTCCGGTCAGTAAATTTGCGTTCTAACCACTTGAGCCATTTTGCCCCAAAGGATAAGACAATATTACCCAACTAAATTACAACGAACCCTATGGTGAATTTCCAAAATACACATTCACATGGTAAAAGTAAGTTGACATACACAATGGTTGCAAGTGTTTTCGGGAACACCTCATTTGACACGTCCCTTTATGAATGATTTACAGGGGATCTATAGGTTAGAACTTTGAAGTGACTGACCCTCAGATGAGTCTTTGTGTTTATACCTCATTCAGAAGTCATTGATTTGCCAAGTAAAGTCGGCGCTTCTTTTGTTGAGTGATGGATGACGCAACTTGAATGTACTCGCCTCTGCCGTTTGCAGTGCCTCGGTGAGGGGTCATTGGCTGGCCAAGGTGAACTCAGTGCCTTCACCTACCTGTTTTGATGACCGAGTGATGGTAGACGCCTCCACCCTTTGTACTCCATTTATGTGGATGACCTTTGAACGATTAGGCAACACTCGACAAATAACGCTGAACGTTGGAGCTGGGTTGGCTTGGCGGCTGATATCGATCAGGCCATTCGCAACTGGTCATGCTTAGCTTCGCTGGTTCGAATGCAGGGCGGTATTTGCCCGACTCACACAGTTTGCGGAACAATGGCGAACAAAGAAATGGATTGTGACCTTGCACATGACCAGTTCGATCATGACCAAAACGAGCCGGCGGGTGAACCTAGCTCCACCGTTCAGCGTTATTTGTCGAGTGTTGCCTAATCGTTCAAAGGTCATCCACATAAATGGAATACAAAGGGTGGAGGCGTCTACCATCACTCGGTCATCAAAACAGGTAGGTGAAGGCACTGAGTTCACCTTGGCCAGCCAATGACCCCTCACCGAGGCACTGCAAACGGCAGAGGCGAGTACATTCAAGTTGCGTCATCCATCACTCAACAAAAGAAGCGCCGACTTTACTTGGCAAATCAATGACTTCTGAATGAGGTATAAACACAAAGACTCATCTGAGGGTCAGTCACTTCAAAGTTCTAACCTATAGATCCCCTGTAAATCATTCATAAAGGGACGTGTCAAATGAGGTGTTCCCGAAAACACTTGCAACCATTGTGTATGTCAACTTACTTTTACCATGTGAATGTGTATTTTGGAAATTCACCATAGGGTTCGTTGTAATTTAGTTGGGTAATATTGTCTTATCCTTTGGGGCAAAATGGCTCAAGTGGTTAGAACGCAAATTTACTGACCGGAAGTTCACATGGTAAAAGTAAGTTGACATACACAATGGTTGCAAGTGTTTTCGGGAACACCTCATTTGACACGTCCCTTTATGAATGATTTACAGGGGATCTATAGGTTAGAACTTTGAAGTGACTGACCCTCAGATGAGTCTTTGTGTTTATACCTCATTCAGAAGTCATTGATTTGCCAAGTAAAGTCGGCGCTTCTTTTGTTGAGTGATGGATGACGCAACTTGAATGTACTCGCCTCTGCCGTTTGCAGTGCCTCGGTGAGGGGTCATTGGCTGGCCAAGGTGAACTCAGTGCCTTCACCTACCTGTTTTGATGACCGAGTGATGGTAGACGCCTCCACCCTTTGTACTCCATTTATGTGGATGACCTTTGAACGATTAGGCAACACTCGACAAATAACGCTGAACGGTGGAGCTAGGTTCACCCGCCGGCTCGTTTTGGTCATGATCGAACTGGTCATGTGCAAGGTCACAATCCATTTCTTTGTTCGCCATTGTTCCGCAAACTGTGTGAGTCGGGCAAATACCGCCCTGCATTCGAACCAGCGAAGCTAAGCATGACCAGTTGCGAATGGCCTGATCGATATCAGCCGCCAAGCCAACCCAGCTCCAACGTTCAGCGTTATTTGTCAAGTGTTGCCTAATCGTTCAAAGGTCATCTACATAAATGGAATGCAAAGGGTGGAAGCTAGTGCAGTTAGGTCGCGTCTACCATCATTCTGTCATCAAAACAGCCAATGACCCTCACCGAGGCAGACTTAAAAACCAAATTAGTTTGCAGATGCGTGCATATTCGCTAATTTCGTGCAATTTGGTTTCAAGTAGAACATAAGGTTGACGGAGACCCGGGGACTGCGTCTACCTGATGAGCCCCAAAAAGGGCGAAACCGGTTGTGGGCTGTCGGCGGATTTTCAGCAACCTTATGAGTAGTACATTACAAAGACTTAAAGACTCATTTGATGGTGAGTTTTAATCAATGGAATCTTACTTATTATCCTCAGAGCGTTGTAAACAAACTGATTGTTGGTCTTAGCGAAATACACTCATTTGGAAACCAATTTGGTTCTGCAAGGTAATCACCTGGAACTTAGCTGAATCTCTTGATTGTGATGTCTGTTCGCCGGGCTTAGCAGTTGGATTGCAAACGTTTAATCACCAATCCAGGTGACATCATCGGATGGAGTTGGTCAATTCAGACCAATAAACCAAGAAGCGCACCCGAACGACCAATAAACTATTAAACTATTTGCAAATGCACTCATCTGACGAGATTTTATCGAAAGTCGTTTGTTCGATCGTTGTGTTCTCATCTCAAACTGGACTATCTAACAGATTTAATTCGAAAAACGTTGACACGTCGACTGAAATGCCTATTGGTGATCCATGCAAGTAGGTGAGATACGAAGCTGTTACCTGGGGTAGTGGGAATAGCCAGAAAACGAACCAAAGGATAACAGAAATACTGTGAATGTGAGTTTTTGTGGGTAACCGTGGGTAAGCAGACATCGCTCTAGTGAGCAACTGATGAAGTGAACAGTTTTCACGACCTGATACTAATAGCCCTTCTCGACGAATCCCGAGAAAAGGGGAAGAGGCACAATACAAGGTTGAGCGCTTAGATATGGTTTGCCAAATACTGTTGGCGATGGTGAGGTCACATCCGGATACTTCATAGCAGAAGTGCGCATGTGCACTACGCATAAGGAGCAAAGGTGAGAACCGTGATCAGAGGGAAACCTTCAATAGGGAAGAGAAGCGGCCATTCACGTCTGTCACCTATGCCGCCTACAATGTGGAGTTCATTAAGTCTGATTAGGTTCTATCCACCGCTGCAAGAAGAATCGGTGTGTTCAATACGAAAAAACGCGGCTTGTCGTACTTACAAATGAAATCCACCGCACGATCGATTGAAGGGCGCAAGTTCTGTTCGTCCGTATCCACCACGGGAAGGATCAGATACCGATAGAGTTGGTTGTTGGTGAAAGGAGGCGCGACGGTTACGCTCACATTGATGATGTGTGTGATACCCAGGTGTGACAGTAAATCGTTGTTTTGAGCGTCTCGAGCGTTACCTGAAACCGAGAATAGACCAGTGTCTCCTGATGTCCTGTGACAAGTCATTTAATACTGAGACGTTTCTATGAGGAGTGATACCAGACCCCGGTGTCAGAGGAGCCTACAAGTAAACATCACTTTGGTGTTAGCAGGACCAACGGTCATGTGTAGCGAACAGCGACCAACTGGAGACCGCGGGTTCAACAGCGCGCCACAAAAATGAGTCAAGTCAACCACACCTTCAGTTAACTAGAAACCAGTAGATACTTTGGGATAAAAAAACTGTCGTTTACTTCAAAAGAAAGCAATCACAATCCTTACTTTCCCAACTGGTAGGGCAAACTTGGTCAGAAACGGTCAGTCGGTACAAAACGCGGTAAACTGGTTCCAGCTGCTACAGTTTCGGTCACCGGAAGAGTAAGGGAGATACAACCAGGCATCGGAGGCAATGACTTGAACACAACCACTAACCCACCACTAGACACGACTGTGCTCCCCAATAGCGCACTGATGATGTCACCTCGATTGGTGATCCATCACGTTTGCAATCAAACCTCCCAGCTCAGCGAACAACCCAACGACCATGGTTTGATCAGTTAGTTCAGGAAACCGGGAGGCTATGTATTAAAGCCTTGTATTAGCCTTGATGCACGAGCGCCATTGATTGAGCCATATCTGCAGATCTCATTAACAGTTGGTGGATTGAGTCCCGAGGTCTTCAGCCAGGGAGGCGGTAGTTGCCGACCCGACTTAGCTCACGGATTTCCAGGCCACTATTCGTGAACGTGTTACGGTTGTGTTTGATGGACTGCACACACCCTTCACAACAACTCTGGTGTTAAGTACAAAGTTTGATCCACTTGTCAAAAATGGGGCTTTCATCAAAGCGGGCTGTGAAACAACGCCCGAGAACCAAAGTTCATTAGAAAGAGATATCGATAAATGCGTATTTATGGTGCTTGGCTTTGCCACTAACAGGCAAGCTTGACATAAACTTGCTTTGAACTGAAACGGAAAACTGATCACAATCTCACAACGCTGAACTGGTGCAGCAAAACTACGTTTTTTTGGACTGCATAAACCTCAACACGACACTCTCACCTGGGCTTACTTCGAACTATATGACGGTACGTTGGCCACGAATGCTAGCCGAATGTGTCTTGGCTGTGACTTACGGAAATTCCTCTATGCCAATGAAACGTCGAGAACCTCAGAACTGGATGGAACAACAGCGCGGTCGCGGTTAGATGTGCTACTTTTCTACTCGTGTTCTGAGCCTGATGGGCTGCAAAAGTTCGCGCGTAGATCTAATACAAGATACACATGGTAAAAACCTTGCGAATGACTCAAACCTAGACTTCTGGCAAGCGTTTTCTTCAACGCATCCACTATCGAAAACATGTGGTACCTGCCTTTCCTCACATGACAGTCTGAATTTACCGGTCATGAGAGTCGCGATCGGATTGACGGCCGCCAGTATGTTGTCCAGTACGATTGGTTAAACAAGCAACTGACGAACCAGCTGAAACATGGGCGGAATTCTCACCCACTTGGTGACCGATATCGCGGCGCGTACAACGTACACCTACCATCAGTTGGATGTCGTATTCCGACCCGGAGTGGGACTTGTCTCCGAGTCCTGGTGTCCACTGGAACATCAGATGGCAGTGCAAGAGTACTTGCTCGACTGCCTCCAACAGTCTGGACCGGTAAATCTCTAGCACAATATGTCATGATGAATCTTGGAGACCAACGTCTGTTCAATTCGCAGTTCACCTGTAAACATTCAGTCGTGATGAATCCCTCCGGTTTGTTTGCAACCGACAACATTCGTTTGCCACTTTGCTCCGATGTCAATTTCGATCTGGTCGCCAGCTGGCATCCAGATTATCTAAATAAATGTCCGAAGGCAAATGCACCTCGACATGTACAGGCCAGAACTAGGTCTCATTCCTCTGTCACCCTATCCTTTTTCCATAATACAGCCTTCAAATGAATTATAATTATATGGTAGTAAAGGATGTATTGCGCTACCGATGACGATGGTATGCTTTGATTGCTGACTCCCACCAAATTCATGGATTTGCCGACGACAGCCCACAACCTCAGCCACTCAGCAACCTTATGAGTAGTACATTACAAAGATATACATGTATCGCGATATGTCGAATATCGTAGCGACTGAAACATGAGGCGGCCTGGTGCAGCCCATTCAGTTGCCTGAGAACATCACAAACGAGAGATTCAGCTAGGTTCCAGGTGAGTCTCTCGAAAAACCAAATTAGTTTGCAAATGAGTGTATATTCGCCAATGAATTTGCACTTCATCCAGTCTCTCGTGTTGCCAGAGGCTCCACATCGTCTCTTCTTCCAGTGATTTGTTTCCACTGCACTTATTCTATCTCCATTGTCTCGAAAACCATTTCAAGGGTTCGGTCTCTGCGTGCATTTCGCACACCCTTTTGGTGCCCAGCTGCCATGCCACCCGAAGGAAGCACGAGGGCCGGGATACTGCCAGGGTGCCCAAGTCTAGATAGGGGAAGTCGAGAAGCGGAGGTTGGATTCGAACCACGGACCTTCCAGTCAGCAAATTCGCGCTCCAACTACTTGAACCATCTTGATCCGCACACATCGTCCTTATCTTAGGCGCAAACACCAGATCAAAAGTAAATACCTCTGTAGGGAAGTTTTCTGCTACCCCGTAGTTGGGAGTGTGACCTCTGATCGTAATTTTTGATGGATTAAACCGTCCTGTTACTCCGTTAGCTTGAGGATGATATGCCGTCATTTTTCGAATTCATCTATGCCTGAAAATGTCTTAAAACCTTTTGGATTCACAAGGACACGCGTTAGTGACAGGTAAGCCAAGCCACGCAGTGACACTTCCATCGGAGAGATAAGTCAGTAGTCCGAACAGTACTCACAGGTGCTTGAATCCATAGAGTAGGATGATCCAACATGAACACAGTGAGACGTTTCCCATCTTAGCTTGCCGCCAGTGGACCAAACATATTCATTACCCCGTGCGTGAACCAAACAGTTATTTCTGGTTGGTTACATCGGCCGTTTTTCTTCCCGCTTCTCTTGGTAAAACAGACAACTACGGACGAATTCTTCAACATCTCGAGGTAGTTGTGGTCAAAAGTACACGATTGCCCGATACATCGTGAACACGGAAGTGGGCGATGTGCACCCAGTAATACATCATCCAGAACAATCGATGTTGATGTTGGTGGTACATACGGAAACACGAAGGATGATGTATCGCCAGGTTGCCCAATCGTTCAGCCGTAGTACCCTTTCGGGGCCTGGCAACGGAAGGACGGTCGGGATAGGGGCCAGGTTACCTAAGCCTAGACAGGAGCGGTCGAGATGTTGACATCAAATTCGAACCACGGACTTTCCGGTTCATAAGCTGGCACCTTAACCACTGTGATATCCAGAGCATCTAGGTTGCTCAAAATGCTGGAATTGGGTTGGAACCAAGTAACTTCCTGTTACTAAGTTCACGCCTTAACCACGGAGCTATCCCTAGTGGAGCAGATTATCATATCCGGTCCTCTGGTGTGTATATTAGTGCATGCATCATGCCGTCGGTTGATAAAAAGAAGGCCCTGGCGAAGAAAGAGGCGGCAGGTGTCGCAACGGCTGGGGATCTTGTAAATGGGACCGATGAGGATGGTCAGACCGAAGAAACTGTACCATCTCACACCGAAGACGAGGTTCCCGGTCGGCATCGCACGACCAGTGTAGGTGATGACGGCCTTGTTGGTAGTGATGATGAAGATGAAGAAGTCCATAAATCCCTTGTTGAGACCCTGGAATGTTTAGACCTAATCAGCAACCGTAATGCTCAGGGTCGCTCTGTGACCTCCGTATTGGCATCACATCCAGGGGCTCGTGATACCAGGTTAGAGTTGAACATTGGGCGGCGCTACGGTCTTATCGACCCGAATGGTTGCGGAAAGTCCACTCTACTCGCGGTTATGGCCAACCGCGAGCTACCCATACCGAACCACATAGGTATTTTTCTACTTCAACGAGAAATGGTACCCAGGGATAAAACAGCACTCCAGTGCGTGATGGAAGTGGATGAAGAGCGACAGCGGTTACAGCGCGAAGCCGGAGAGCCAGCCGCACGTGAAGATACGGAGAGTAGTGAGCGCTTGGTCGAAGTATACGAGCGTCTGGAGCATTTGGATGCAGACAAAGCAGAAGCCAAGGCTGCTATGCTCCTTCATGGTCTAGGATTCACAAAGGAGATGCAACAGAAGCAGGTCAAAAACTTCAGTGGTGGTTGGCCAATGTGTATCGCACTAGCTCGTGTCCTATTTGTTCGACCAGCCCTAGTTCTGCTCGATGTGCCCACAAATCACATCGACTTAAATGCTTGTGTAGTTGGAACGTGAACTGGTCAACTACCCAGTCAACTACTTTTGATGAGTATTACTTACACTGCGAAAGCTTGACTCTTGGAAAAGGACTTCCAGAAGATATGAAGGCGCGAGGCGCAGTGCTGGTTCTGTGAGATCGAGACGTTTGGTACTTATGGTGGGTGAACTCTGTCCCATGGTAGCATGGCTTGAAATCGGCCTGTTTTGTAGGCATAAACGTTCCAAGACAACAGGCAAAAGGCCAATGTCTAGGCACATGAAGAAACTCGACCACTGTGGAATGAACAGGTTACTTTTCAGATTGCAGAGGCGAACGCACGCGGCTGCTATCATTCAGTCTCTGAGCCCAGCAAGTGAAACTGGATTCATCTACTCCAAAATCCCGCACACATAACCCCCCACAAAGCTAGAAAGAGCACACCGTAACAGGGCATTATAGTAAAGTTCGGAAACTATAATGAAAGTGACGATACTTACCAATGTACAGATAGGGCAAGATTTCCGACACGGGTGCACCAAGAATGTCATCTGTCTCGGCCGACTGTGTCGCAACGCTTTTGCACAACTTCTGAAGACCGAGCGTGTTTCGAACACACGTACGAGGGAGAATCTCATGCATTTGGATGAACTGGCTCCGCTGAGTCATGCATTTGAACAAAGGAGGTCCCGGCAATACCGGAGTGACGTCTGAACGGACTTGTAGGGTTGAAACTACAGCGGACGATGGTGGAGACTTCTCAAGATTCAAGTCGGTAAATGGTTTAGAGGAAAGTGGAGAAAGAAAGGTGTGCGATGCCTGAGAGCCAGGCGATAAAGTGACGCCGTCTGAGGTCGAGTCGGCATATTCAGATAGGCTATTTACGGGGGTGCCGGCCTCGATAAACTCGGAGGAGCGTAGACGTTGGAATGCTTTGAAGCCATCTAAAAAGATTGAAAATACAAAAGAGGAATTCGTGGGGGTGGGGGAAGTCGTCACGTATTTGTCAATGAGCAGAGGGAAATGCTGCCGTTCAGAGAGCTAGCGTCAAAAATTTTATACATAAGTTCATAAGCAAAGACCACATCAGCAAAACACTCATTTGCATACCAATTTGTTTTTGGGAAGAGGCTCACCTGGAACCCAGCTAAATCTCTCGTTTATGATGTTTTTAAAAAAACATCAATCTGATGTACCAAATTAATATGGAAATGAATGTGTTTGTCAAAATCAGTCCAATTTGGGTTCAAGCAGAACATAAGGTTGACGGAAACTCGGGGACTGTGCCTACCTGAGGAGCCCCAAGAAAAACGAAACCGGTCGAAGGCTGTCGAGGAGTTTTCAGCAACCTCGTGATTTTAAGCCTTAGAGTGAAGAAGAGGAGGGGACCCGGGATTAACTTATTGCAAGTATTCTGAGTTGCCTATGACCCCAAGTTCTCCTTCGGACAATCAGGAAAGAAGCTGGTAGCACGAACACCACTAATGTAAATCAGCCGCCATTTCTTGTAGTTTCTCCAGTCATGCACAAAGGAATTAACGGAGACCCCAGCCTG